GTTCTGCAGGCGGTCGTCGGCGAAGGCTATGGGCCTGTTTTCTTACGGGCTCGTCGTGTATTTTTGGGATTCTGGGATATGTTTGGACGGGCTCCGCCCTGTGTTTGGTTTGGCGTTCTTTCGCCATACCCCCATCCGGCGGTATAACCGTCGCCGTGTTTATCCCTGCACCCACCGGCCCGCGCGCGGGGTTGCATTATTTTGCGAGGGGTTGTTGTTGATTCGGAGCCTGCTGGGGTAACACGCCCAATAGCGCCCACCTGCCTGGGTGAGTGTTTTTGCCTACGTGGTGGGCAAAGAGTCATGGGTCTCACCGCAGTGTCCCTGCCCGGCGTTTACGATTCGAGGCGATGCGACTCATTACCATCGCCACAATGTAAACCATCCAGGAAGGCTCGGTGAGTCCACGGCGAGCGGGCTTGGTAATTGGAGAGTCACACGTGTACCATCAAGGTCACAACTTAACGATGTGTAGTGCTGGCGATCTGCATATCGGCACGGTCGGGCGTCCTGCTGGGCATAACTCAACCTGCACACCTTCCTGCCCGATGTCTAGTACCACTCGGCCGGGAATGCCTGATCAGCCGCCAACTCTGTGGTGCTGCTCGGCGTGGACGTTCCTGACCGCATCTTCGTAACCGCTCCCGGGTTCATCCAGCGACAGGTTACCGACCATCAGGTTGAAGCGATGCTCGACAGCGCCGAGCACCTGATGGAACGGCCGAGTGGGTTTTCAATTACAGCTGCTAATACCTTAGACGCGCTGTAGCGATTGCCGGGCCGTGAGCACGGCCCCATTGGCTCAGGCATCGCTTGGTTGCAGGCATCGAGCACGTTTGACTCAAGCGCCGCCTCGTCGACGGACACTCACCCATCACGCCAACCTCTCCCATCGAGGGCGAGGGAGCAGAGCCAGTGGTGGACATCATGACACCACGCGGTTGGAACCACATGGGGAGCAGTTTTTCGGCGACAGTGGTTCATCACATAATCCATGCATCGGGCCGATGCGGGCAACGAAATCGACGGTCAGCTGGTCGATGCCGTTCGTTGCAGTAGTCGCACAAATACGTCGATGTGACATCCTGGGTGGAGCGATTAGCGCTGCCGCCGAACGCACGCCGACGCCCTCTTCGGCTCCGTGCATGTCGGTGAGTGGAGGCTGCGTTTCAGGGAAATCGTAATGTCTGCTGGATCGCGTCCCGCCAGTTCGGTTTGCTCCCGCAGGTAGGGCAGGTTCTGGGCGACGAAATCCGGGGTTTGACGCGTGGTGTGCCAGCAGTCGCCGTATTTGGCGGTGCGGCGCAGCGCGCGGCGGGTGTGTCCGCCCACCCAAATCGGTATACGCGGTTGCTGAATGGGCTTGGGCTCGAAATATATGCCGTCAATCTGGTAGTACTTGCCGTTGACTTCCGGCTGCTCCTCAGTCCACAGAGCGTTGAAGATTTGCAGGAATTCGTCGGTCATTGGGCCCCGGTCTGCGTAAGGCACGCCCAGAACATCGAACTCTTTTTCCAGCCAACCTACACCGACCCCGCAGATCATGCGCCCGCCAGACAGTACGTCCAGAGACGCAAACATCTTTGCCTGCACCACCGGGTTGCGATACGGCAGGATGAGCACCGTGCTGCCCAGACGTATCTCACTGGTGCACGCTGCCATGTAGCCCAGCATCGTCATCGTTTCCAGGAACGGCTCGTCGGACGGCCGCTGAAACGCGCCGGTTGGGGTGTAAGGATACTGGTTGGTTCCCGCCACGGGCAGTACGATGTGGTCGCCGGCCATCACCGACTCGAACCCCAACTGCTCAGCGCGCTCACAAAATTCGCGGATGCCCGCTGCGTCGGGCAAGCGGGGAATACTTACGCCTATTTTCATCTGGGAGCCTCAGGCTGCGGGCCAGATTGGCGACAAATGCGCTCACGCCCGGCAGCGCCAGGATTATAGCATCGGGCGCGGGTTCGCCAAACTCTGTCCAAACCGTCGCAAGCATCCGGTTATACCTGCTCGCGTGCCGGGCCTGCTCGCGTGCGAGGGTCGCTGGCGTGCCAGGCCTGCTCGCGTGCCAGGATTGACTGCGGCAGGCATCGTACTACGCCGTCATTCAGCGAATTCCGTACTGCGGCGCCATGCTATGACACCCCGGCATTTCGCGCACACCCGGTCTTTCAACATCCGGCGTTGCAAGCGGTGCCGGAACCACTGCTGCCCGCAACCGCACTCTCCGACCCAACCGGCGGCAGAGTGCTCAACCCGGTGGCATCTTTCCCCGGCGCATCCGATTTCGAGAGCCTTGGCCTTCCACGTGGCGTCGTGATTGTGCCGGTGCCCGACGATGGCATGGGCAATTTCGTGCAGGACGGTGTCTTCTATCTCGGCGCGGGTCGCGTGCAAGCAATAACTGACGGACAAACTGATGCGCCGGTCGGTGTAGTGACAAACTCCGGCGCGCGTTGGAGCCAGATCGAAACCGAACTGCCACGCCGGGCTAAGGCCGCTACTGGCGCGGTGGTGGTCGAGCAAACGATTGGCCAACGTTTCCACCTGCTCCAGCGTACATTCCGGCTGGGCTGGGGACTCCACGTGTCGCAAGGCGGAATAGGGGACTGCGTACCGCCCGCTCTGGTCGACGACAACTTCGGCGTGCCTGACCCGCAGGCCGGCTACAGTTCCGGTCTTCACCGAGCCATCACTCCCCGGAAATCGGATGCGGCTGCCAACCGGAAATTCGGCCCCTGGAAACTGTGCGGTGATTTCAGTGCGGCGTGATGGCATTCCGGTTCCTGCAAACGGCAGCATTATACGTCAAATAGCCCGCCGGGCCCGTTGCGGCCGCATATGCCGGGTGCGGGCATTCGCAAATTCCCGAAAATCCGCATGGTCGCATTCTTGGCCAGGGCAATCGCGTCTTAACAATCCGCCAATTATATATATCTCAGCTTGTGATGAAAGGGCAGTTTCGCGTTGCTCGGTGGCTAGATCATACTCGCTCAGGGTTACAATGAGCCTCACGATACCTTGTGATTCATGCATTGGGTGCCTTCTGAGAGGCTTGGAGTCTTGCCGATCATTTGGAAGCACACTCATTTTGTCGGTTACGAATTAAGACGCGATTGCCCTGCATTCTTGGCTTTGATACTTGCTAAGTACGTGCGTAGTGCTATAATTCCTGCAAACTGATACGAACGCTGTCGTTGACTGGTTCGTTGGCACACTAATCTCGTCCACAAACAGGAGGACAAAATGGAAAAGGGAGATACCGTCATCAATGTCGGACCGGTAGACGTAACCCTGTCATACCGCAGAGAAATCATGCCCGACCAGGGTTTGATGGTGCAGGTATATGGCGACGTTGACGGCCAGGATACTGAAATCCTGCGCTTCGACTGCTTCGACCAGGCCCCGCATTACCACTATGGCCCGGAGAACATGAACATCCGGCTGCCCATGGACAAGACCACTGTCGGCACCCCGTTGGGTTGGACGTTGAGCAACATCCGCACCAACCTGGCAGCCATGGTTCGCCGCTCCGGTTACGATGACCTGGCCAGCGAAATCCAGGCAAACCCGGTCGACCAGATCAAGATGGACGAAGTGGAGGCGTGCGCCCTGTCCAAGTCTCGCGACGAGCGCCGCACAGTAACCCATTTCCGCGGCGACCACGTTTTCGAGGCTGGCAACATTCGCTTCGGTGTGGAATACCGGGACAACATCGGCGCGGCCAACGACCGCGGCGTCGCGATCCACGTCCTGACCGACCACTTGGGCCAAGAGTTCGAGCTCCTGGCTTTCGACTGCTTCGAGATCGCACCCCACTACCACTACGGCCCGCGCAATCAGGACGTTCGTGTGTATTGGGACACCACCACCAGCGGTCACACCCTGGCGTGGACGCTCGAGCAGTTCAAGGCTGGCAACCTGGCCAACATGATTGACCGGGCCGGCTACCCAACCGTAGCCTCCGGGGTCGACAACCATCTGGTACAGGCTATCCTCCCCACCATCGAGGAGAAGGCCTGGGCCTTGGTAGGCACCAACCAAAGGTAACCGTCAACAGACATACCGGTTACGCAGTGGGGGCGGCAGATTTGCCGCCCCCACGTTCTTTGTCCTACTTCGGACGATTGTTCATTTTGGTCCGCGCGCGTTACATCATCGTATAGCCGCCGGACACACTCAAGGTCTGTCCGGTGATGAAACTGGCCGCGTCCGATGCCAGGAAGACCACGGCGTTGGCCACCTCCTGTGCAGTGCCCATGCGCCGCAACGGGTAGGCGCGCCGCACGCGCTCCAGGACATCCTCGGTGAAGATATCCTGCATACCCTGGCTCCACATACTTTCGGAGCTGGTTACCTCAGCTTGGGGTGGCACCACCAACCCGGGGCAGACCATGTTCAAGCGCAGTCCGTAGCGTCCGGTTTCGCGGGCGACTGCCTTGCTCAGCGCGATCACTCCAGCCTTGCAAGCGGAGTAGACGGCCTCGCGATACTCGCCCATCCGCCCGGCATCGCTGCTGATGCTGACAATCGACCCGGATTCCCGTTCAATCATATGCGGCAAAACCGAGTGGATGCAGTTGATGGCACCCCAAAGGTTTACGTCCACTTCCTTGATGTGTTCAGCCCGGGGTTTTTCCATGAACAACCGGTCCACCGTCCAGCCCACGTTGTTCACCAGCACATCCACACTGCCCAATCGACCGATGGCGTCGGCGATCATGGCGTCGGTGTTGTCCTTGTTGGTTACGTCAGCATCGACGACGGTGGCAGATGCGCCGGTTCCCATCGCCTTAACCTCGGCGGCCACCTGGTCGCCGGCGGCCCGGTTCAGCTCAGCGATGGCAATGTTGCTGCCCTCGGCGGCGAAGGCCAGCACGATGGCCCGCCCAATATTGGTGCCGCCGCCGGTAACCACGACATTCTTGCCCTTCAGTCCTAACTCCAACCTATTACCTCCAGTCGCTCTGCGCTTCCAGGATATTCCGCAAAACGTACAGGTTTTCTACGTCTGCACGGTTGTATTCCAGCAGCATATCCAGTGCGTCCTGATTCTGTTCCTGCTGATATTTGTCCCACAGCAGCACGGCGTCGTGCCCGTCTACATCCGGCAGATTGCGCTCGATGCCCAACGCGCGTTCAATGTGTTTCAGCCCGCCGCGCAACCCGGTCCGTCGGCACCATTGCATCAGATCGTGGTGGATCAGCCAGCGGCGCAGGTCGATTCCAGGGCGCCATGACAGGTACGGTAGATCGAAGCCGGCTCCATTGAAGGTGTAAACAGTACTGACGCCTTCCAGCACGTGGCGAATCGAGTCGGCGGTGATGTCCTCACCCACCAACTGTACGACGAACCAGTCGCCGGGGAAATCCACCGCGATACCGACCACAGTGGGGTATGAGTTCCCGATAAAGCCCGTGGTTTCGATGTCCAGATAAGCGTCCAACGGAACGTCAGTGGCGGAAATGCCTCACACCGGTGAACACCATGGCAATGCCGGCTGCATCCGCCGCCGCGATGACTTCATCATCCCGAATGGAGCCGCCCGGCTGGACGATGGCCGTGATACCGGCTTCTGCCGCCAGCTCAATGTTATCCGGGAATGGGAAGAAAGCATCCGATGCCAGCACGCAGCCAGCCGACTTCTCGCCCGCCGCCCGCTGGACAGGTGGACGCTGACGACGCGGTTCGGCTGCCCAGCGCCCATGCCGACGAGGGTGCGGTCTTTGACGAACGCGATGGCGTTGGACTTGATGTGCTTCACCGCTTTCCAGGCAAACACCAGGTCAGCCAACTCGGCCGACGTTGGCGCCCGTTTGGTGGCCGTCGTCCATTGGTCGGGATATTCGGCAATGGTGTCGCGGGTCTGGACGAGCACGCCGCCGCTCAATGGCCTGACGTCATAGTCAGCTGCACCGGGTCCGGACACGGCCGGCTCAACCGACAGTATCCGCAGGTTCCGTTTGCGCTGCAGGAAGGCTAACGCATCGTCGTCGTAGCCCGGCGCAACAACCACCTCGTAAAACACTGGATCCATCGCTTCGGCAGCCGCCGCTGTCACCGGACGGTTGTACCCGACGATACCGCCGAACGCTGAAACCGGGTCTCCTTCGTAGGCGCGACGGTAACCCTCCGCCACGTCATCCGACGACGCCAGGCCACACGGATTGGCGTGTTTGATGACACACACCGTCGGGTCGGTATATTCGCTGACGATTCGCCAGGCTGCGTCGGCGTCCATCAGGTTGTTGAAGGACAGCTCACGACCATGCAGCTGCTGCGCCTGAGCCAGGCCGCCGGAGCCGCCGCTGGCTGGAACATACAATGCGCCCCGCTGGTGCGGGTTCTCCCCATAGCGAAGCGCCGATACGCGCTTCAATCCGATGGTTACCTGCTCCGGCATTTCATCTTCAGAGGCGGGGTCGGATGCCAGATAGTCGGCAACCACGGCATCGTAGGTGGCAACGTGCTGGAAGGCTTTGGCAGCGAGGCCGCGCCGTTGTTCGATGCTCAGCTCACCGTCGGCCAGGGCGTCGGCGACCCAATCGTAGTCTGCAGGATCGACCACGACTGCGACTGAGGGGAAGTTCTTGGCCGCCGCCCTCAGCATGGTCGGCCCGCCGATGTCGATGTTCTCCAGCGCGTCATCCAGAGTTACGCCGGGCTTGCTGACGGTTGCCGCGAAGGGATAGAGGTTGACCACCACCAGGTCGATGGCATCAATACCGTGCTGCTCCAACTCGGCCATGTGGCCGGCAGAATCCCGCCGCGCCAACAAACCGCCGTGGATGGTGGGATGCAGGGTCTTGACACGACCTTCCAGTATTTCCGGAGAACCGGTAACATCCGCCACCTGGCGAACGGCGATCCCGGCATCCGACAGGCTGCGGTGCGTGCCACCGGTGCTAATCAGTTCGCAGCCGGCGCCGGTCAGCCGCCGGCCCAAATCTTCGATACCCGTTTTGTCATAGACGCTCAGTAACGCTTTCAAATTACCTTTCCTCGATTGGGTATTCCTCTGATTGGATAACGATTGCCAAGGCGGAATCCGGAACAGAACCCGAAATTGCCAGCTGCCACCCGTGTGCATTCAGGTGCGCCAGGCGGTTTGCGGCCGGCTATGCGTTTCGAAATATCGCTCGGGCTTCATCGGCGCGGCCCACGATTTGTCCCACGTCAACGGCATCGGGCACGCCCTGGAGCACCGCATCTGCCCCGGCGGCGTCACACACCGCTACCATACCCAAACCCATGTTGAACACGCGATACATCTCGGCGTCGCTGATTCCGCCGGCCTGCTGCACAGCACCGAAAATGGGAGGGATGGCCCACGAACCGAGCCGAAATTCTGCCGCCACATCCGGTGGCAGCACCGCAGGAACCTTGCCCGGCAAACCGCCGCCCGTGATATGGCTCAATGCCTTCATTTGCGGGAGATACGGCGCCAGCAGCGGGTGGTAGGCGCGGTGCCGCACCATCAGTTCGTCGCCCAAATTACGGTTCAAGCCGGGCACGCGCCGGTGCAACACCGTTGGGTCTTCATCCACGCCAAACACGTGGCGCACCAGAGAAAACCCATTGGTGTGAACGCCGCTGGAGGGTATCCCGATCAATCGGTCGCCTGGTTTCACGGCGCTGCCATCCAGTAGCTGGCTGCGGCTGGCAATCCCGACGACGAACCCGGCCAGGTCGAAATCGGCGTCGGAGTAGACACCGGGCAGCTGGGCGGTTTCGCCCCCAATCAATGCACAGCCGACTTCGCGACACCCCCAGACTATGCCGCGCATCAGCATCTCCAGACGGTGTTCGTCCAGCACGCTAAACGATACATAGTCGAGGAAGAACAGCGGGCGCGCGCCTTTGGTCAGGATGTCATTGACATTGAGGGTAACCAGGTCCTGGCCCACGCCCTCGAAGTGTCCCAACTGCGCCGCAATTTTCAGCTTGGTGCCCACGCCGTCGGTGCTCGCCACCAGAACGGGTTCGTCGATGGCATCCAGTGCGAAGAGGCCGGCAAAACCGCCGCCTCCGTCCAGCACCTGGGGGCCGTGGGTAATTCCCGCAAAAGCCTTAATGCGGTCTTTCAACCCTTCCATCGCGTCCAGCGCGACGCCGGCAGCCTCGTAGGTTCCCGATGGAGTCATGCCGCCCGCTTCAACGTCATCGTTCAGGACGCCGCAATCTCCAGCGACAGCTTGCCCAAATCCAACTGCACCGGCACGGGGTAATTGCCAGTGAAGCAGGCATCGCAAAAACCGCCTTGCTTTCCACGCACCAGATCCATCAGACCGTTGACGCTCAAATACCCCAGGGTGTCGGCGCCGGTGATCTCCTTGATCTCGTCCAACGATTTGTTGGCGGCGATCAATTCCTGCCGGGTGGCCATATCGACGCCCAGGTAGCAGGGGTGTTTGATTGGAGGCGCGCACACTCGCAGATGAATTTCGGTAGCGCCGGCTCGCCGCAGCAACTCCACCACATGGGGCGTGGTGGTGCCCCGCACGATGCTGTCGTCGACCACTACCAACCGCTTGCCGCGCAAGATCGCGGGCATCGGGTTGAACTTTTGCCGGACACCACGGTCGCGACGCTGCTGTTCCGGTTCAATGAAGGTGCGGCCCACATAGCGATTGCGTACCAGGCCGTTGGCGAAGGGAATGCCCGATTCGCGGGAATAGCCAACCGCCGCTGCGGTGGAAGAGTCGGGAATGCCAATCACCAGGTCAGCGTCTGCCGGATGCTCTCTGGCCAACTGCGCACCCATATCTTCGCGCGCGTTGTGCATCAACTTGCCGTCCATCACGCTGTCAGGGCGCGCGAAGTAGATCCACTCGAACACGCACAACGCCCGGCCGCGGCGGGCCGACCCGGCGTAAATCTCTGAATGCACACCGTCCACGCCAATGGTTACCACTTCCCCCGGTTCAAGTTCGCGCACGAATTCCGCCTGCATATGATCCAGGGCGCAGGTCTCTGACGCTACGGCCCAGCCGTTATCCAGCTTGCCGAGGCACAAGGGACGTATTCCCAGCGGGTCGCGCGCCGCAATCAACCTATCGGGCGTGAGAATCACCAATGAGAATGCGCCCTGCATGGTTCGCATTCCGTGGAATAGTCGTTCTGCCCAGGTTGCTCCGGGCGCGTTTGCCAGCTGATGGGCTACGACCTCGGAATCCGTGGTGGTATCGAAAGCGCAATCCCACCTGGCCTGCAACTGTTCACGCAATTGGACGGCGTTGATGATGTTGCCGTTGTGGGCCACGGCCAGCGGGCCGTTAACTCCGTCGACCAGCAGGGGTTGCGCGTTGCAAAAGGCGCTGGTGCCGGTGGTGGAATACCGGGTGTGGCCGATGGCCAGATCGCCGGTGATGCGGTCCAGGTCTCCATCGGCGAACGCCTCCGAAACCAGACCCATCCCGGTGTGGGCGCGGATCTCCCCGGCGTCTGAAGCGGCAACCCCTGCCGACTCCTGCCCCCGGTGTTGTAGCGCGAACAGCCCGATCGCGGTGAGCGATGCGCTGTTGGTACCCGGCGTGTAGATACCTACAACACCGCATTCCTCTCGTGGATGATCGAGAGGATCGGAACCTGAACTGCCGGGCAGCCAATAGTTCATGTCAGCATTCTATTTTGCGGTTGGCTCTAGGTCAACGCCCCGGACGCCGATTAATCGCGTTGAGGGATGATTTGGACTTTGCGGCTCTCTCCCACTCCCACACTTTCGGTTCGGATACCGTCTCGCTCGTCCAGGTACATATGAATTACCCTGCGATCCGATGGCGTCATCGGTTCCAGCGTGATGCTGCGCCCGGTTTGGACAACCCTTTCGGCAACGCGGGAAGCCATCTCACGCAGGGAGTCCTCACGGCGCTGCCGGTATTGCTCAACGTCCAGCGCGACGCGCACGTCCTGCTCGAACTGCTGACGCACAATGCTCTGCACGATAAATTGCAAAGACTGGAGCGTGTTGCCGCGCCGACCAATCAACAACCCGGAATCCGGCCCGGCGATGTCGATGATGGGCCCGCCGGACGCCTCGTCGAATTCTGACCGGAGCGTTACGTCAACCTCTGCTCCTACGGTTTCCAGGATACGCTCGACCGCCTGAACCGCCGCCGCCGCCGGGGAATCTGCATCGGCCAACACGACCGGGGGCCGGCGGGGAGCCTCTTCCTCGTCGTCTTCGTAGTCGTCTTCAAATTCGTCGCCGTCACCGTCTTCAAATTCCGGGCCATCTTCAGCTTCGTAGTCGGCATCAGGCCCGGAATCTGCGTGGGCTTCGGCGTCGGGTTCCGGAGATGCCGCCGGTGTGGTGCGGGTAACACGGACCTCGGCCATCTCGCCACCGATGCCGAGGAACCCTTGACGGCCTCTATTTAGTGTTTCTACCTCGACCTCGCTGCGGTCTGCGCCGAGCGCTGCGAGCGCCAGCTCTTCGGCTTCTTCTACGGTCCGTCCGGTTTGAATTATTTGATCCATCTGGTTCGTTCTCCTGTGGGGCAGGGGCTGGGCTAGACGGGGCTACTGCGTCCGGTTCCCCACCGCGCTTCGGGAACAGTGGGAAGAGCGGCCCCCATCCGGTGATGAAGTACTGAATGCTGATACCCAAGATGTTGGAAACCACCCAATAGAGCGGCAATCCGCTGGGCCATCCCAGCGAGAATGCCCCCAGGAATATGGGCATCATCCAGAGCATCATGGTTTGACTGGATTGCTGACGCGGATCCGGAGACGGCATCTGCGTCATCTTTTGCTGCACCCAGGTGGACACCGCCACCAGGATGGGCATGACGATGGGCGACGGGTCGGGTTGGCTCAGGTCCAGCCACAGGAAGGTGCTGTTGACCGGCGCCGCCGCATGAATGGGTACGAAGGTGATCCAGGTGTACAGTTTGCCGGCCAGACTGACCAGGTCTTCCGGATTGTTGAACAGGGTCTGAATGAGTACCCGGAACAGGCCGATGAGAATGGGCATCTGCACGATGAGCGGACCCAGACAACCGACTGGGCTCACGCCGCTTTCCCGATACAGACGCATGGTTTCCTGGGAGATGCGTTGCCGGTCGCCGACGTGCCGTTGCTGGATCTCCCGCACCCGCGGTTGCAGACCGGTCATCGCGCGCATCTGCCGCACCTGGCGCACCGTCAGCGGAATCGTCAAGATTCGCACCAGCGCCGTGAACACGATGATGGCTACTCCCATCTGGGAGAAGCACAGGACGTACAACACCATGAGCGTGTTGAGCATGGGACGAATAATTACTTCGTTCCACAGCAACCCGAATATGGAGAAAATTTCCACTAACGCCTGTCCTGCTCGCTACCGATCCGGCAACGCTTGCCCTAGTTGCACCTGGTGTTTTCTTCAGTGTCGTAGCACCACAATATATTGATGCCAGACACCACCTCCACCCGCCGCACCGTGCCGTCATCAGAGCCGACGTACACGGAATCAGGCTGCCCGGTGTCGGACGTAGCCTGGCTGCGGGAGATAATCAGCGGCGCTTTGATCTCGCCACTGCCAAGCGTCAGGGAGGCGATTTCCTGCGCCTGGCCGTGGTCGGTTTCGGTGGCCCTCAGCACGGCCAATTTGCCGTCCACGGTGGCAACCGCCAAACCCCGTTGCAGCAAGACCGGGTCCGCCACTACTGGAGCTCCCATATCATAGGCCCACAACAACCCACCGCTGGAGTTCAGGGCGTACACTTTGCCATCCATAGATGGAGCCAGGATCATGCGACCCGACGACACCGGGGTTGCCCACCACCAGTTGTCGGCGCCAAATTGCCAGCGCAAATCGCCGCTTTCCAGCCCGAGGGCATACAGTTGCCGGTCAAACGAGCCGATAATCAGCATATCCTGATGAATCAGCGGTTTGGCGACCACTGCCCCACCGGTAGCGTATTCCCACACCACCTCGCCCGTAGCCAGGCTAACGGCATACACCTTGCCATTCTGCGAACCGAAATACGCGACGCCATTCCGCAGCAACGGAGTGGACCATATCTCTCTTTCATCGGTGCGGAACGGAGACCATCGCAACGACTCTCCGGTTGACGCGATGAAGGCGTACAAGCCGCCGTCCTCTGAACCAACCGCCACGATGCCGCCCGCTTCGTCCAGGCCGGGGCTGCCAACAAGAGGCACGATATCTTCCGGTTCAACGTTGGGGTTACGCCAGACCGTTCCGACCGCCCCGCCGGAAGCGTTCAGGTCGAGCGCGTACAGGATCCCGTCGATACCGGCTACGTACAGATGCTGTCCGACGGCGGGCGGGTTATACGCGCCCAAAAATCCGTCTTCTCCGCCGACGGAAGACCTCCACCGCGTGCTGACGGTTCCGTCGCCAAAGTCATCGAGGGCCAGCACCTGCCCGTCCCGGGTAGTGGCATACACCACGCCGTTGGCCACCGCCACGGCTCCCCAACCCTTGGTGGATGCTCCCAGGTTCGGTCGGCATCCGACGACGGCCAGCAGGCAGATGGCTGCCAGCGCCGCGAGCAACATCCAGCGTGGCATCAACGCCAGGCCGTTGTTAAGGCGCCGAGGCATGGCGGAATATTCGTTGGTGGAATTGGGCGTAACCCGAGGTTTGCGGAAGGGCAGGAAAATGTTTGACATATTGGTTGACTAAATTACCGGGTCATACCCGCTGCCGCCTCTGGGACGACACCGAAAAATCCGCTGGATACCCAGCCATACACCTTTCAGCACACCGTAGCGTTCGACCGCATCAGCGGCGTACTGCGAACAAGTCGGCTCAAAGCGGCAAGCCGTTGACAGATAGGGGGACACCGCCTGCTGATACAGCCGAATGGTTGCAATAGCTGCGATTTTCACCGCGTTGCCTCCGGCGTTGAGGTTACGGTCTGCGGGTTCACGGGGTCAACAACTTCAGGTTCGGCTTTGTTCAACTGGGTGCGGCGCAGCAAATTATGCACGGCACGCTCAAGTTGAGGGAACTTCGCTTCACCAGCGCCACGCCTCGCAATCAGGATGGAGTCCCAACCCGGGCGGGAATGGGAATTTCGGATTACTTCGCGCAACCGTCGCTTGATCTGGTTACGCACCACGGCGTTGCCGACGCGTTTCCCAGCGACGAAGCAGAAACGGCTGCGATCCAGGCCATTGGGCAGCAGGCGGATAACCAGCAAGTCGTTAGCGGCACTACGTCCCCGACGGTGGACTTCCCCGATACGGGCATCGCCGCTAAGACGATGACGTTGTTGCATCTAAACTACGGAAGCCGCGGGCGGCCGCTGGAAACAAAGTAGGTCAACTAAACGGTCAGCTTGTGCCGGCCCTTGAAACGGCGGCGGCGCAAAACCGAACGGCCATCCGAGGTGCGGGAACGGGAACGGAAGCCATGCACTCGGGCACGACGTCGCTTTTTGGGTTGATAAGTGCGCTTGGGCATGTTCGACTCCGGCTGATAACTATACTGTCAAAGCCCCGACACGTCAACGGATTTGTCCTGCTCAAGCGTACCCATTTTGTCATTGCGAGCGTAGCGTGGCAATCCCGACGCCGTAACAACGGCGGTTCGTCCACGTATGTTCGACCTCAACGAAGTTTCCACGTCGCTATGCTCCTCGCAATGACCGATCAAGTCTGCAAACGCTAGCCCACCGCGGAGGCATCGGTAATCGATAGACTTCGGCCCCGCACACGTACCCGGTCCAACGCGCAGCGCGGCAGCGAAACAGGCTGAGTCACATGATTCAGCACAGCACCGCCGGCGGTGCCAAGGTTCCGGCATATTTGCCGCAAACAATAGTTGGTAGTTACGCTGCGGACGCTACCGGGTTATAATCCGTCAAAATATCAGCCCATCCAAAACTAATTCCGACCAAAGCTCGCTCAACATGACATTGCCAGAACCGGGACGTGTGATGATGAAAGACCGTTACGAAGACGAAATAGAGCAAATCCTCAGGAATCTGGATGCTCAACCTCCGAAGAGCAAATGCCGAGCAGCCGGCCACGCCTAGTTCCGTGACACCAGTTGACGACGAACCATCGCCGTTCGCTCCTAAGCCACCGGCGCGCAAACGTCTGATTTCCCCGGCCAAACTGTCGGTCATCGGAGTGGTGCTGGCGGTAATCGGCTTAGCCTTGACCAAGTTGGTTTGGCTGTCGGTGGCGGGGTTGGTCATCATTGTGGTGGCCGTCGTATGGATGTTCCTGCAACGGGCAACCACTCCGGCGAACGCGGCGTGGCGTGGCCGCCCGGTTGAACAGCCACCGCAAACGGGCTGGCAGCGGTTTCGGCAATGGCTGTCCCGTTAGCCGGTCGGTCAACACACTTTGGCGACGCGTCGTAAATAGACGCGTTTGAACAACCTCAAACAGGCAGGCTTACCAGCCGACCGCGGCGCCGTCCTTCCGGGGCTCGCTGCCTCCGCTGAGGACGCCTGAGTCCGGGTCGCGACTGATTATCTGGCCGCCGCCCATTCCACCGGCGCCGCCCCGTTGCGGGCCGTGCATCACGTTGACCCGGTGCCCTCGGCGATGCAGCTCGGCGGCCACTTCATTGTCAACGTCCCCTTCCAGCCACAGTTCATCGCCAGCAACCTGGAACCGCAAGGCATCCAGCGCAGTCTGCGAATCCATGCCGAAATCAACCATATTGCTGATGACCTGCAAATGTCCCTGGGGCTGCATGAATCCACCCATCACCCCGTAACTCAGCCACAATTCGCCATCGCGGGTGGCCATTGCCGGAATGATGGTGTGGAAGGGCCGTTTGCGTCCCGCCAGGACATTGGGATGCTCCGGGTCCAACTGGAATAGCGCCGCCCGGTTGTGCATCACGATGCCGGTGCCCGGCACCACCAGGCCCGATCCGAAATTGGCGAAGACGCTGTTGATTAGGGAGCAGGCGTTGCCAGCCCCATCGATCACGCTGATGTAAACGGTGTCGCTGCCGGGAACCATCTTGCCGTAGGGTGCGGTTTTCATCGCCCGTTGCGGGTCAATCAGTTCCCGCCGTTTGTCGGCATACTCCTTGGAGGCCCAAATACTGGTCGGAACCTCCACGCTCCTTGGATCAGCCAGGTACTCGAAGGCATCGGCGAATCCCAATCTGGTGGCTTCAATCAGGTGGTGATACCGGTCGGCGCTTTGCGGCCCCATTCCGGCGATGTCGAACCCCTCGGTAATATTCAGGGCTTCCAGGGCGATGATGCCCTGACCGTTGGGCGGACACTCCCAGCACGTCACGCCGCGATAATCGGTCTTGATGGGTTCGTCCCAGTCCGAATGGTGTTGGGCGAGATCATCTTCCGAAAGCCACCCGCCCTGTTCCTGAATGAAACCGGCCATCGCCGACGCAATTGGGCCCGTATAAAACGCCTCGCTGCCACCTTCTGCAACCGTGCGCAGGGTTTTCGCCAGCGTAGGCATCCGCATTAACTCGCCTTCTCTTGGCGCACGGCCGTTCTGCAGCAACTCCTGACCGGACGGCAATGCGCCAGTTTTCCCTCAGTTTGCTGCCACTGGAAGCTGATGATGTCGCTAACCGGGAACCCCTGCTCGGCGTATTCGATTGCTGGTTCGAGAACATGGGCCAGACTCATGGTGCCCTGCTCGGCCAGCAAAACCTCCCAGCCGTGAACCGTGCCTGGGACGGAGATGGATAGTGCGCCGAAAGCCGGCATCCGGTTGTGTCCTTTGGCGCGCAAGTCGTCGATGCTGGCCGCTGCCGGCGTGCGACCGCTACCGTTGAGCGCCACCACACCCTTGTTGGCGGCCTTCCGGATCAACGCGAACAGGTCCCCGCCGACGCCGGTGGACATGGGTTCGACCACGTTCAGCGTGGCGGCCGTGGCCACCGCAGCGTCCACAGCGTTGCCGCCGGCCATCAGGATACGCAGGCCGGCCATCGCGGCCAGGGGTTGGCTGGTGGCAACCATTCCGTGGGTGGCATGAATGGTAGAACGACGGGAATCAAAGAACATTTTCGGGCTCCGGATAGCACTGGCGCAGGTTGGCGGCCAGTTTAGCACGGCCCTCGAACGACCGCACCTCTCGGGCCCGGGACGGCTCGGCCGGGGTGCCACCGCAGTTCCGCGCCATATGTTCCGCACCGAGCCGGCCGGGGTGCTTATGATAAGATAGCCACGTCGCCGGCACCTCACCCGAGGTCATTACCAAGATCATTTGCCAGGCGTCGAAACTTGCGATCAATCAACAGATGTTCCCCACCAGGAGGTCCATTCATGGCCATCACCGTCGGACAGGCAGCCCCCGATTTCACGCTGCATGAAACCCCCCAACAACAGCGCACCCTGAGCGAGTACCGGGGCAAAAACGTGGTGCTCGCGTTCTTCCCCGGAGCCTTCACCGGCGTTTGCACCACCGAAATGTGCGCCCTGCGCGACCGCATCGACCAGTTCAGTTCCATGAATGCGGAAATCGTCGGCATCACCGTCGACCCTCCCTTCGCACAGGCCGCGTGGAAGGCCGCCAACAATGTCAATTACACTTTCCTCAGCGACTACAACCGCGAGGTGGTAAACGCCTATGACGTTGCGCTGCCCGGCCTGGCCGGAATGCAGGGATACGTCGCCGCCAAGCGCGCGGTAACCGTCGTCGACAAAGACGGTGTGGTGCGCTATCACTGGGTATCGGAAAGCCCCGGCGTTGAACCCGATTACGCAGAGGTTCAGGCCGCAGTAGCCGCCCTGTCGTAAGTCCGGCGCAACCGCGTTGACCAGGTAGCCGCGCCCGGCAACGGGCGTGGCTTTTTAGTGGATGGGCCAGGGATGGCTCACCAGTCGGTCGACGACCATGTTTGTGAGGCGCAGGGCGTCCACGTCAAGGCAAACATCGACATTGGGTGCGAATCCGGTGGAGCCATACCAGTCTGCAACCGTTTGCCCTCGGGTCAAGTCGCTGGCGGTGTCAACGGACACGTACATCCGGCGAGACTCCATCAGGGTTGGGTCGATGGCGAACGCCATTGCGGGGACATCGTTGTATCGCACTGCTTCCCCGTCGGCCAGCCGACCCATCCGCTGGTACGCCTGCCGGGTAAATCCAGAAGCCGCCACCAGCAGGGCCACCGCCGGAGCCGGGCATTGTGCCAGTCGCTCGAATTGGCCGGTGGAAAAGCCAGCCCGATCGCAAACGTCCAGCCCGACCTGAGTGATTGGTACACCTGATTCATACAGAATGGCCGCCGATTCAGGGTCTTCGTGCAGGTTCGCCGTCGCCACTGGAGAAACGTTGCCAGGCACCCGCACCGCACCACCCATTACCACCACCCCGGCCAGTGCGTCAGCGATTTGCGGTGCAATTCGCAACGCCAGCGCGACGTTGGTCATGCGGCCTAGCGCCAGGACGGTAATTTCGCCCGGAGACTCCAGCGCGCGCCGGGCAATTTCCAGCGCGGCCACCCGGTCGACGGATGCGACATCGGGCGACGGTTCGGGTACGGAATCGGCCACGCCCCCCAGAGCATCACCGCCGTGAATGTGCCAGGCCCAACCCTCGTTGGCGCGGCGCAGCAACGGCCCTTCGGCTCCCCGGTACACCGGAATGTCACTGCGGCCGGCCACGGCCAGAATCCGCCGGGCGTTGTTGGCGCACTGCGCCATTGAGCCGTTTCCGTATACGGCGGTTAACGCGTCGACCTGTAACTCCGGGCTGGTCAGCGCCAACAGGATAGCGGCGGTGTCGTCAACTCCGGGGTCGGTGTCGATAATCACGCGTTTGGGCATAATTACCTCGATTGGGCAACCGGCAGCGACCTTTGACGCTGCCAGCGGGTTCCGGCATTATATCGTGAGCATCGTCGGTGGTTTTCTGACTCCGGCACGGAGGCATTGATAAAAATGGCAATTAATGAAGTGCAGGGAGTCATCGCGCGGTCAAAGGGTGCGCCGGTGGAACTGGTACCGATTTTGGTTCCCGACCCCGGCGCGGGCGAGGCGCTGGTGCGAGTCCAGGCCTGCGGCGTGTGCCATACGGATTTGCATTACCGGGAAGGCGCAATCAACGATGACTTTCCGTTCCTGCTGGGCCACGAGGCAGCCGGTATCGTGGAGAAAATCGGGGACGGAGTCAGCAATGTCGTGCCCGGCGATTTCGTGATTCTCGCCTGGCGTGCCCCTTGCGGTCAATGCCGTTCATGCGTGCGTGGCCGGCCTTGGTACTGCTTCTCCAGCCGCAACGCCGAGCAGAAAATGACCCTGGCCGATGGATCGCCGGTGTCGCCCGCATTGGGCATCGGGGCGTTCTGCGACCTGACGCTGGTAGACGCGCTCCAAGCCGTCAAGGTCGACCCGGCGGCAAGCCCTCTGGCGGCGGGCCTGATCGGTTGCGGCATCATGGCCGGGCTGGGCGCAGCCATCAACACCGGCGGTGTGAGTCGCGGCGATTCAGTGGCGGTCATCGGTTGCGGTGGCGTCGGCAACGCGGCGGTCGCCGGCGCGCAACTGGCTGGCGCCAACATCATAATCGCGGTGGACATCGACGACCGCAAACTCGACTGGGCCAAAGGATTCGGCGCCACCACATCCGTAAACTCCACCCAAACCGACCCAGTGGCGGCCATCCGGGAACTCACCGGCGGCAACGGCGTGAACGTGGCGATTGAGGCCGTGGGCAACCCAACCACCTACGAACAGGCTTTTTACGCCCGCGACCACGCCGGTACCGTGGTGCTGGTTGGTGTCCCGGACCCCACGATGAAAATTGAACTGCCGCTGATCGAGGTTTTCGGACGCGGCGGTTCGCTCAAATCGTCCTGGTACGGCGATTGCCTGCCCACCCGAGACTTCCCAATGCTGATTGACCTGTACCTGCAAGGCCGCCTGAACCTCGACGGTTTCGTCAGCGAACGCATCACGATTGACGACGTTGAGGCCGCTTTCGAGCGCATGGGTCGAGGAGAAGTGCTGCGCTCGGTCGTTGTGATGTAGGTAAGGAGGATGGCGAGAATATGGCCACGTTTGTACTGATTCACGGAGCCTGGCACGGCGGATGGTGCTGGTGGAAGGTTGCCCCTCTGCTGCAGGAAGCCGGCCGCACCGTACTCACTCCCAGTTTGACCGGGCTCGGCGACCGGGCGCACCTGGCGGCCCTCATGCCCCCGGCATCGTTCAATTTGGATCTGCACATCCGGGACGTGGCGCAGTTGCTGGAATCGAACGACCTGCAAGATGCCGTGCTGGTGGCCCACGCCTACGCCGGCATGGTCATCACCGGCGTTGCCGAGGTTTGCCCGGAGCGGATCGCCGCCCTGGTTTATGTCAACGGCGTGGTGCCCGCCGATGGCGAAGCGATGGTCGACCAGCTGGAGGCAGTGCGCGGCCCGGAATTCGTCGCGCGCATCCGGCAACACATTGCAGACAGCGCACCGTTCATGCCGGCGCCGACCACCGCCGACGAAATCGCCGAACGCTGGTCCATCACCGATCCTGATGATCAGCTGTTCGTGCTGCCCAGGCTGAGCCCGCAGCCTACCCTCACCTTCTCGCAACCCGTGCGCACCGGCAGACCGGAAGCACAGGCCCTGCGCCGCGAATTCGTGCTGTGCAGCGAGTCCGGATTTGAGGCGGTGGCGGAAAAGGCAGCCGCCTCAAACTGGGGCGTCCACCGCATCGACACCGGCCACGACCCCATGATCACAACGCCACGGGAGCTGGCCGACATCTTGCTGGCCATCGCCGGCTGACCCGCCGGTCGCGGTGGGGCACGAACCCGGATTCCGGGTATGCTAGGATTATCTCCAACATTCGCGTTCCAAAAATCACCCAAAAGCCCAAACGGGAGGTCTACATTATGGCAAACGAAGCGCTGGGGCTCGACGTCAAAGCCTGCATTTTCGACGTATTCGGCACGGTGGTGGACTGGCGGTCCAGCATCACCGAACAGTGCGCAAACATGGGGCGCATCAAGGGCATCGACCGCGACTGGGCTGCGTTCGCCGACTCCTGGCGCGGTAAGTACCGCCCCTACATGGACAAGGTGCGGCACGGCGAATTACCGTGGACCAACCTGGACGCGTTGCATCGTATGTCGTTGGACGACGTGCTCGACGAATACGAAATCTCTGGTTTCAGCGACGACGAGAAGATGGAGGTAACCTACTTCTGGCACCACCTGCGCCCGTGGGCAGACACGGTGCCCGGACTCTACCGCCTCAAGAACAAGTTCATCATCGCCCCAATGTCAAACGGCAACATCGCGCTGATGACCAACATGGCCAAGAACGGCGGGATGCCCTGGGATTGCATCCTTGGGGCCGAAGTTGCCCAGCACTACAAGCCCGACCCGGAAAGCTATGGCACCGCCGTGAAACTCCTGGGCCTCAAACCGGAGCAGGTGATGATGGTGGCCGCCCACCAGGGAGACTTGCTCGCATCGGCCAAGGTGGGTCTCCGCACCGGATTCGTGCCGCGTCCCAAAGAACATGGACCGGACCGCACGCCGGACCCGACGCCGGATCCTTCGTTCAACGTGGTGGCCGACAGCTTCGTCGACCTGGCGGCCAAGCTGGGAGCGTAACCCCGCGCCCGCGCATTCGCATCAGTCAACGTTTACCCGAAACCGGCGACGTTGACCGGAAGCCGGGGTGGGCAGCCTCTCGCTGTCGCCCCGGTTTTTAACCCAGGTCGGGCGGCTCCAGCCCGCACGCCTGCGCCACCAGTTCGTAGGAGCGCACGCGGTCGGCATAGTGGTAGCAGATGGTAACCACGCTCAGATCGGCGGTTTGGTACTGTTCCGAAACTCGCTCCAGCCCTGCTTTCACCTCTTCCGGGTCGCCGTCCACGCAATTGCGGAGATACTGCTGTATAAATTGCCACTCGTTGGCCAGATATTTGTACGAAGCAGCCAACTCCGGCGATGGAATGCCCTTGGCTTGACCCGTTACCGACCGCAGGCGACCCAGGTTGCGGCTGGACCCGATCCGCCGCGCCTCTTCCTCGGTGTCGGCGCACAGTACCTGCACCCCAACGTTCACCAACGGTTGCTCCAGGTGCTCCGAGGCCTCGAAATTCTGCCGGTACGATTCCACGATTTGCGGGCCGTCATCGGCGCCCATACCGAGAAGTGTGCGTAGGCGAAGGGCAGGCCCATCTTGGCGGCCATAAACGCCGACTCGTACCGAGACCCCAGCAACCAGACCTGCGGCGCAGTGTCCGGTTCGTCTGGGGATGCAGCCACCGCGTTGAAGGGGTGGTCGTCGGGCTGCGAGTCGTTCAGATAATTCACCACGTCCCGCACCTGCTGCGGGAAATGGCGAATGTCTTTCGGGGTGCTGGGATACGCCAGCGCGGCGGCGGTTATCTGATCGCTGCCGGGCGCCCGACCGATGCCCAGGTCGATGCGGCCGGGGTAGAAGGCATCCAGCATACGGAACGTCTCCGCCACTTTCAGGGAACTGTAGTGCGACAGCATCACGCCGCCGGAACCGACGCGGATGCGCCGGGTGTTGGCCGCAATTTGCCCGACCAGAACCTCGGGGGCGGTGCCGGCAAAATTGGGCAGGTTGTGATGCTCGGCCACCCAGTAGCGCTCGTATCCCATCGCTTCGGTGGCTTGCGCGAGTTGGATGGTCTCGCGCAGCGCCACACCGGCGGAGCTTCCCTCGCGCATGGGTGACTGGTCAACCACGCTCAGCTGCAATTTTTGGCTCAATTTGCCTCCCCCCTGTTCACCCGACACGCTTACCGGCCCGGGCCACTATTGAGTCGCGAGTAGCACGATTTTGGGCTACCCGCCTTATGCGTACCCACTTTGTCATTGCGAGCGTAGCGTGGCAATCTCGTCGTCGTAGCAACGGCCGTTCGCCGACGTGTGTTCAACCTGATCGCGATTGCCACGTCGCTATGCTCCTCGCAATGACGGATTAAAGCGGGTACGCGTAACACGCCCCGCGGGTTGACGGAAAATCGGGGCACACCTATTATAATATGGCCAAACGATGAGCGCAGCAGGACATTTCACGGTGTACGACATTGGATGCCCCGGCGCGTAAGACCGCCGGGCCGATGAGGTGAGCCATCGTGCTTTTCGCTAAAATACCCGGCTCCAGGTCGGCGGTTGACCCGGCGTCAACCGTCGACAAGCCACTTGCGTCCAGTGGCTCAAAGCACCTACTTGAAAAAGTTATCAAGTCGGTGCTTTTTTTATTGGCGATGGTATCCGTCATGGTCACCGTTGCCATCGTGGCGGTGCTGCTCTATGAGGGAGTGCGTTTCTTCGCCTCGGATTTCTACGAGGCCAAACCGACTGAAGTCATGGCAACCAGCGAGCCGGCGGACGCGGTAAGCCAAGTTTCTCCCGCAACAACCGCTCCTACAACAACCACTCCTGCAATGAACCCGCCCGGCACAGCCGCCCCAGGCCCCATCCCCCAGGTTTCGGTGCGCGCCACCACGGATTCGCTGATCCATGTGTCCTGGGACCGACCCATCGCCGGCGCGCCGGTCAGTGGGTACGCCGTGTCCATACTACCAAGCCTGAAGACCGATGTGTCTGACTGCGAATTGCTGGGCTCTGACCGGGTGTCCTGCGTCATCTCCGACGCTTCTCCCGGAAGGTCGTACAAGGTAACGGTGGCAGCCGTATCCAATGGCGTGCCGGGAGCCGCACTGCAAACCAAATCGTTCGCCGTTCCGGAATCGGTGAAGTGGCAACGCTACTTTACCGACACCAAATGGCGCACGCTGCTGGTGCCCCGTTCCTACGGCGTCTGGCCGTTGCTCGTCGGCACCATGATGATCTCGCTGCTGGCAATGTGCATCGCCGTTCCGTTGGGTCTGTTGTGCGCCATTTACCTAAGCGAGTATGCAAAACCTGGGGTGCGCGCCGTCACCAAACCCGTGCTCGAGGTGTTGGCCGGAGTTCCCACGGTGGTCTATGGCTTTTTCGCTCTGTTCTTCATCACTCCCTTCCTGCGGGTTTTCAGCGATGACATTGGCATCTTCAACGCTTTGTCCGCCGCCATCGTGATGGGCGTGATGATTGTGCCGATGGTGTCCAGCCTCAGCGAGGATGCGATGCGCGCGGTGCCCCTCAGCCTGCGGGAAGGCGCATTCGCCCTGGGCGCCACCAAGGTCGAGGTGGCTGTCAAGGTCGTGGTGCCGGCCGCATTATCCGGCATTGTGGCCGCCTTCATACTGGCAATGTCCAGAGCGGTTGGCGAAACCATGATTGTGTTCATCGCCGCCGGCCAGAACGAAAAATTGACCTTCAACCCGCTGGAGCCGGTGAATACCATGACCGGGTTCATGGCTACGACCAACTTTAGCGACAACGCCATACCCGGCACCGCACAGTTTCAGGCGCTGTTCGCGGTCGGAATTACGCTGTTCGTCATCACCCTGGTGATGAATCTGATCAGCCAGTTCGTCGTGGCCCGGTTCCGCGAGGTGTACGAATAATGGCAGTTGAAATCCCGCCCGGATACAGCCGGCGGCTCGCTCGACGCAAGCGCATTGCCGGCGTCTTCCATGCGATCTGCATCATCACCGTAGGCGTTGCGATGTTGATGCTGGCCGCGCTGCTCTATTCGGTAATCTCCGAGGGGTTGTCGTGGTTGAGCCTGGACCTGATTACGGAGAATGCCTCCAGCAAAGCCATTAAATCCGGACTGTTCCCATCCATCGTGGGCACGCTTTGGGTGATGGCGATTTGCATTTTCATATCGTTCTCGGTGGGAGTGTCCGCTGCCATATACCTGGAAGAGTACGCGAGGGCCAGCCGCATCACCGACCTCATACAAACGAACATCAAGAACCTGGCTGCGGTGCCGTCGATCGTCTACGGCATCCTGGGACTCACCATCTTCGTTGCCCTGTTCTCACTGGGCAAGAGCACGCTGGCCGCCGGCCTGACGCTGGCCATGCTGATCATGCCCGTGGTCATCGTGTCTGCCGAGGAATCAATCCGGGCCGTGCCGCGTCACTCATAGGGGACCGGCGCGCGCTACGCCCCTGGGCGGCGCACGCTGGCAGGTCGGTGTGTGCGACTGTGGGTGCTCTGCCACAGGCGATGACCCCTGCAGTCCTGACGGCATCATCTGGCTGTCCGCTCGGCGCGATGGGCGAAGCACGCGGGCCGTCTGGTGATAAGGGGTGCGCTGGCCTCGTGCCTATCGCCCAACCTCGTCCGCTGGATCGTGTCACATCAGCACCGTACTGCCCATCCAGATTTACGTCTGGATATCGAAGCCGCAGGAAGAATTCCATCAATTGGCTGCTGCGGGTATTATTGTGCTGCTGGCGATTCTGTTGGGCATGAACGCCTTTGCCATTTTCCTGCGTAACCGTCTGCAAAACCGACACCGAGGGTAAATTCGACAATGGCGACTCCCGCCGCAACCACCCAGTCAGTTATCCGCGCCGTTGACGTTGGTGTCTACTACGGCGCCAATCAGGTCATTGAGAGCGTAAATCTGGATATCGCGGAAAACGAAATCACCGCTATCATCGGACCCAGTGGCGCCGGCAAAAGCACGTTGCTGCGCTGCATCAACCGCATGAATGACCTGATTGATTCCTTCCGCATGGAAGGCAAGATCTGGTTCAATGAATTTGACCTCTATGCCCCCGGTTCCGACCCGACACAAATTCGTTACCAGATTGGTATGGTGTTCCAGCGTCCCAACCCGTTCCCCAAGTCAATCTACGACAACGTGGCCTTTGGGCCGCGCATTAACGGCTACTCCGGCAATCTGAATGACATTGTTGAAGAATCCCTGCACAGCGCCGCGCTTTGGGATGAAGTCAAAGATCGACTCAAGGAATCGGCTCTCGCCCTCTCCGGCGGCCAACAGCAACGCCTGTGCATCGCCCGGGCGATGGCGGTCTCGCCCAGCGTTATCCTGATGGACGAACCCTGTTCAGCGCTTGACCCAATTGCTACACTGGCAATCGAACAGCTCATGCAGGAACTCAAAAAGCGTTACAGCATCATCATCGTCACCCACAATATGCAACAGGCTGGTCGCGTTTCGGACAAAACCGCTTTCCTGATGCCTGACGAGAATCGTGTGGCGCACCTGATAGAATTCGACGAAACCGCCCGCATGTTCACCAATCCCAGCGACGAACGTACTGAGGCATATATCACCGGCAGATTTGGATAATGTCTCTGGGCGGCGACCAACCAGACACAAGGAGGCGCCAAAATGCTAAGGTCCGACTTCGACCGGCTTCTGGAAACCTTGCAAAGCGATCTGGGCGAAATGGGTCGCCTCGTTGAGGAAACCACCAAACAGGCGATCCGCGCGCTGCAAAACCGCGACGCCGACCTGGCCCAGCAAGTTATCGACCACGATGACGTGATCGACAACCTGCAGGACACTCTGGAAACCAAATGCCTGGGCATCCTGGCCACCCAGCAGCCGGCCGCCACCGACCTGCGCACGGTGATGTCGGTGGTGCATATGGGTGTGGAACTGGAACGGATGGGCGACTACGCTGAGGGAATCGCCAAGATCTGCCTGCGCATCTACCAGGAACCGCTGCTCAAACCGCTGATCGATATTCCACGGATGGCTGAGTTGGCGCTCAAGATGCTAAACGAGGGTCTTCAAGCCTTCGCCGAACGGGATGAGGATCTGGCGCGCAAGGTTTGCGCCGATGACGATGCAGTTGACGACCTCTACGACCAGATTTACCGCGAGCTGCTGACCTATATGCTGGAAGACCCTCGCAACATCCAGCGGGCCACCTACCTGCTGTGGGTGGCGCACGACCTAGAGCGGATTGCGGACCGCGCGACCAATATCGCCGAGCGAGTTATCTGGCTGATTTCGGGCGGGTCGGTCAGCACTCGGGCGCTCAAATCGGAACGCTCACTACGCTGAACGTGAATGCCAGCGACGCTTCCTGACCCGATTTTGGTGGAACCGCGAGCAACAAATAACCTCATGCGTACCCACTTTGTCATTGCGAGCGTAGCGTGGCAATCTCATCGCCGTAGCGACGGCGGTTCGCCGACGTGTGTTCAACCTCATCGAGATTGCCACGTCCCTGGACGAGCTGGGGATGAGCGGGCGCTCCTCGCAAGCACAGA